ATATAAAATATATTATAATGCAAAAATACATCGTCCCTCGGTGGGACAGCGGTAAGTCTACGGATTTGCAACGCTAAAATCAGAAGTTCAATTCCCCTCGATGGACACAGCAGATAGCCCGATGTGGCTTTGCTATAACAACAACAACAACAACAAAAACACGAATACGGCAATAATAAAATTTCATCACTTATATTCAAACCGTATTTGCAGTTTGTGATTCTCTGCTCTGTTCGACAAGCCCCCCAGTGGCACAGCGGTATGTCTGCGGACTTACAACGCTAGAATCCTGGTTTCGATACCCGTGGTGGGCAGAGCACAGATAGTCCATTGTGTAGCTTTGTGCTTAATTACAAACAAAACAAACTGTTCGACAATAACGTTTATTCTTGTTATCTACTCTGAAATATATTACACGTACTCTGCAATCTTTCTAAAACTACATTTTAATATGATAATAATTCCGTTTTCGTTTGTGCCGGTAAAAATGGTGCTCGAATTTCCAAGTACGTTTCCATAAGACCCGTATATATATATTGAAAATACTCTCCGTGTGTTATGCACAGTTTAAAATATTCCCCACATGTTATACATTTTTGATAATGTGACTAAACTATAACACAAGTATAATAATCTAATATATATATAGATGTGCATAACAAATGCGGAATATGTTCAATTGTGCATAACACACGAGGGGTATTTTCAACTGTGCATAACAAATGCAAGATATATCCAACCGTGCTTGTTAAACTTAAGATTCTGTAAGTTCTTAAACTGGAAATTATTTTGAATGAAAAACAAGAAACAATGAAAACTTAATTTTTCGCAGAAAAAAACGACTTAACGAAAAATCACATATAGAATTAACGCGCAAGGCTACACAAGCAGCCACCTTCCCAAAGTCGTCCCTAATTTCGAACTGATAGACTATAAAATAGAAAGGTAGTCAACAGTTCTCATTGCCAAATATTGGGTTGTTCTTGTTTAATCGAAAAGTGGGACTTGACTGTCACCCTTATAGCGCACCATAGCCCCAAAGTGTTTGTCTGTTTTGAATTTCGCGCAAAGCTACACGAGAGCTATCTGCGCTAGCCGTCCCTAGTTTAGCAGTGAAAGACTAGAGGGAAGGCAGCTAGTCATCACCACCCACCGCCAACTCTTGGGCTAGTCTTTTACCAACGAATAGTGGGATTGTCCATCACATTATAACACCCTCGCGGCTTAAAGGACGAGCATGTTTGGTGTGACAGGGATTGGAACCCGCGACCCGCAGATTGCGCCCTAACCATTAGATCATTCTCCCGCACATTCGAAGATTAGGACACCATTAGAGCCCATGCTGGAAGTTTCGTGGCTCTTATGAGCGACTTATGGGCTGCAGCCCCTTCGTAAAACAGTTCATCAGCAGTACTTTTCTGCACATAATTTACCTGCTGAGCTGCAGTTGTGACCTTTTAGTAAAGTCTTAAGTGTAGGGTTTATTCTTATAATGTGTTTCAACTTTCGCATCAACCGAAGTGTGATTAAGTTTGAGTTACTCAGCCGATATTATATATTAACATGGTTAGCGGTTTTCTATTTCTTTAGCACATTAACATGGTTAGTGGTTTTCTGTTTAGAACATTACGCACGGTAGTTTTGGACTTAGGGTAAAATGTCTTGGGGTCTTTCTACCATCAATGTTACACCCAATAACCCGTACTATTCGAAGCTCCATGACCACTTTTCCTCGTGACATACTGAGTTGATCTGGTTGTCTTTAGGTACTTACGTGTGTGTGTGTGTGAAACACCCAAACGTTTATACCACCAGGATATTCAAGTTAGTATCAGCGACGAAACTAAATATATACGTAAAAATTGCACGTTGATAACTCTGTTATATCTACCAACAACTGTTTGTTAGTTTAATTGTTTGTGTATAAACAACTGTTTGTTAGTTTCATTGTTTGGGTATAAACAACTGTTTGTTAGTTTCTTTGTTTCAGTATAAACAACTGTTTGTTAGTTTCATCGTTTGGGACAAGCAATGAAACTAACAACCAGTTGTTTA